AAAAATCGTTCGCAGATCGTGCATGACGCCGGCCGAACCAAATTTTAATAATTGCCGTGCATAATAGTGTAAATTGTATATGTGAACGACATGGTGAAAAACAGGCTAAGACATAATTGGATTTACATGCAGTTCGTTCAGAGCTGGCTGTACTTGATATCACCAACTGATTTTTGAAACAGAGTGATAAGGCTCTGTATGCGTTTTTTGTTTTGCATTAGCGTGCTTGTCCCAGACCTCACCTCGACGCAAAATTATTGTCCCCGTCCATGTAAAAGCATAGAAATGTAATTTCTCAGGAAGACACGTGCCGTCTTGGTTGGCTGTTACGCAGTTCCAAATTCCATTTCTACCAAAAATATCTACTGGACAAAAACAGGCTAAAAAGCGCACGCTGGTTTTGCTCAAAGATACAGTATTTTAAATTGCTTTAGCATGGACATAAAATGTTTTCAGTCTGTTGTTACCGCGCATTCCTTAAACAAATTGTAATAAGCTGTTTCCTCGATGAATGGAGTTGGGAGGCACACACTCGTTTAGCTGAGATGAAGCTTTGTCATAATCTATACTCATGATTTTCTTTTGAATTGGTGAGCGCAACTGAGTACAGCCAGCCGTTCTTCTCTTTGTTTCAATGATAAATTGATAACACCATGTTTTGCCAAAAAAACTGCCACGTTTAATCTTCATCTTTTCATTGCCTTCGCTGTAAAATTCGTATGCGCTGCTTATTTTTCCACACTTCATTTGTCTCAAAATTTTCGAGTAATTCTAGCATTTTTACAAACTGAATAGAATGGACTGTGTATGTTTGTTTGGCCGTTCATTCCACTGCTTGATTGCACATACTTCCATTTCGGTACTGCTGGATTAGTTCCGGTTGAAATTAGCTGGATGTTTCACTAAAATTTCAGCGAATAGATTAACCTTATAGCAGACGTATGTTTGTTTGGAACAGCAGTCCGTTCTTCTAACGTTCTTAGTTCGAGCGCAGTATTTCTACAAATTCATAAATGCCTTATTCATAAATGTGTTTCCTTTACCTTAATTATTGTTTCCATCATTTTCTTTCTAATGAAGGAAATTATCTGGCACAGTTTTTGACCTCTATGCTTCATTTCCAAAAAATTTTCCGGATTCGTATGTGACTGAGAAAAATCTTGCCAGTAAAAAGCGTGGTTTTACTTTAGAACTTTTGAAAAACGTCTTTTCTTGACCACTTCATCTTTCTTCATTCCACTGAAAGTTTTTCCTGTCCAGCACCGCTGGGTACTTGCCCAGAATTATAACAATTTTGTTGCTTCCAAAATGGCTCTGTAAACTTCAAAGCCGCAGAACACGCGAGTGTCTTCGGAGCGTGTCTCGGATTTTTCATACGGTACTTTCCCAGTTGTTCAATTTGCATTCGTTCCTGAACATTGTAGCATTGGTTTTAATATGCCATATGAAAATGTCATTCCAGTTTGAAAAAAAAAAAAAAAAAAACTTTTTATGATAAATCAAAAGCACCATTCTGTCAAAACTTTAATTTCATTTCCTTCAAAACTCCCACTTTTTTAAAATCATTTCTCATTTCTGCTCGTTTGAAGTCATAGCGGTGTTGCAGCGCAGCGTCCGATAACGCTACTTTTATATTTTAGCTTGGGAAACCAACCCCTCAGCGATTCACCGCGTTTGTTAAATAATAGGTAATGGGTAGCCCTGCTTAATGGATATACATTCGGCTTGTTTGTGCTACATCTCCATCAATCACACCACAAGGGAGTGAATGATGAAGATGTGGTACAGTCATGTTTGAGTATATCCGCACAGTCAAATTTCAGGGCCAAGGAAACGATGGATCTCTAGTTCTCAGAACGTGGATCACCAAATGATTCATGTGAATGACTTAAAATTAGCACCTGAACCTCACTGTATTCTGGCTTATGACCTTAGAACCAAATGTGAATTAGTTCTATAAATCCAAAACGGAGCATGCTAAAATCTTGAAATTTTTGAAATTATTTAGTTGCTCATTCCTCATCTCCAGTTTTTTACCCTCCACTCCCAGTCGCTGCAGTTCGCTTCCCATCCCGGCCGAGTCGAGCTGAGTTTTAGTAGTTGCCCAAAAAAGCTTCAGGAAAAGAAATTTCCTAACTTCAAATACAGGCAGTTTTTACAAATCCAGAACGGAACAAGACGTCGATTCGAAGTCCTGGCGCTTTCTTGTACTGAATCAGTTAAAAGCAAATTATGACGGAGTCTTACGCGCGTATTTTCACCGGTTGCCTCTTCGCAACAATTTATAAAAATGCATAAACGCACTGCCTCGTAGTATGTTCTGCTATGATTTTGAGGAGTGCGAAAATGCCTCACTGTTTTGGAGGGTGTAGTCCTCAGTTCCGAGTAAGGCTTGCTGCAAATACACTCATAGTGCATCTATCTTAGCGTTCGATGAAACGAATGATGCATGGGACAGGATTGCCCATTTAAGGATACGTTCAAGCTTTGCTTCTTTTGCTATATTTTTAATGAATCTGCGCTATTGCTGCTACTACTACTGCCGCTACTGCTGCTGCTACTGCTGCTGCTGCAGCTGCAGTTATACTATGTTTGTTAGCTTATCAAGTGCGAATGCTCTCAGAATAGATTAACGAGCTGCTAACGCGTGCAGAATAAAAAGAGCATTTGTCGGGCGCTGAACTACGTGAGTCCATATTGACTCAGGCGCACCCATGGTTTTGGAATGTTTTTTTTTTTGTTCTGCTCAGTATATTAAAATGCGGCAAGCATCAGACCAGGAGGTGTAGCTGAGTGAAATGCACGCGTTGTACTT